AAGAAACACACCAGTAAATTATGTGGCGGTTGCGGCACGCCTAGTAGACAAGGGTTCAAATTCAATCTGCAGACTAACGACTCCGTTAAAGCCATCAATTCTGGCTTTCAGGTTATTATCTGCTTCCCTGGACCATGGCCACATTCTGTTCATCAGCTCGTGCATGATGCATGCATCCCATCATTCCCATGCCCAACGTCGGGGTATATACGTACACGGTACACTACAAAAAAAACAAGAGATTAGATTTTTGACAAGGATTTCTCAAAATTGGCGGAGATTATAAGAGGGATTCGTCAAATCCGTGCCAAAAACATTTTGGTAGAAGTTATTTGACACAGAATCATCAGTCAATCATTGTCAAATCCTGTGCCAATCCCGTAGTTGTTTTTGTAGTGGTAGTACATAGGACTCCGTATTAGATACTCCCAGGGGCGGATCCAGGATTGAGAGGTGGGGTGGGCTAAGCAGCAATCTTTTTTTAGTATACATACAAGGTTTATGTCAGGATTGTTATCTAATCGAGCTTTTTTGAATTATATAGTCGAGTTCGAGCTTAATTTTGCCTCTAATTTATCGTGTGTTAAAATCGAACATCGAAAATCTATCGAACCAAAATTAAGCTCAATTTTATACTAAGTGAATGTTCATTTCACTTTCCTTTCTTGACAATATGTTCATTATCTGTTTTAAAAAACATTTTTCAATGTTCATATGAATTAAAAACATTCTATAAATTTATAAAAACTACTCCGTAATAAGTAAAAAACAATCGTTGTACCTAAAAGTAATAAGTATTCACAATTTCAAAATTCAATTGAAAATTTCAATTATTTATTACATGTCCACACAATAAATAAATCATTCTCTAATCTTCAAGTGTATAATAAATGAATCATTCTCTAAATCAGTAATCTTTAATTCTATCTTTTAATCATTATAAATTTACAGTGAATTAAACACTATTTTAATTCATAATGAAAAATTCAATTAATTATCAAATTGATTCACTAACCCCAAAACCCAAAAAGGGTAAAAATATTACTGAAGTAATACACAATAAGTCAATAACAGTCACAAAAAATAATAGAGCTAAAATCTAAAAAGCTCACATGGAGGCTGGAGCTTCGGAGCTGGAGGAAGAGGCCATAGCGGCAGGCTAAAATCTATCAATAATGACGGAGGGCTCTGGATGGCGGAACGCGGCGTGGACGGCGGAGGAAGGCGTGGTGCGGCAGGGTCGCAACTCATATCACGAGTTCTTGCCTTCTTTGTCGCAAACTCGCAAGCTGCAGCTCTGCCTTCCTTCTCCTTCACACTTCCGCTAGTTCGCAGCCTCGCAGGTAAGATGAATAGGTGGGCTGGGCTGTGGGATGGGAGCTAATTTTGGAGTGGGCTAATAATAAAACTTAGACATATACTAATTAAAAAATAAAACTTGGGCTGGGCTGAAGCCCACCCCTACCCTAACTACCATCCGCCTCTGGATACTCCCTCCGTCCTTTAAAGGTTCTCATTCCATTTTAAAAAATAAATTATTCTCTAGGGGCTGAGGCCTCCAACAGGATTCCCGAGGGCGGCACTATTTCCGAAATGGAGCAGGCCGCTGCTGACCTCCGTCAGCATATCCAGAAGGCTACCCCCAATGCCCGTATCGGCCTTGATAACCGAAGGAAAGACCGGAGTGAGAACCAAGTTCCCCCTTTGGCTCCAACCATCGACCTTCAGGCCGCTTTCGCAGCCTTCGTCCAGAATATGGCCCTGAATTCCGGTGCTTTCGTTACGCAATCACCACTCCAACCCCATTATGGAGGAAACATTGTCCATTTTCCGCCACCTCCTCCATTCAACAATCCCATCGTGCAGATTGGCAATGTCGAGGGGTTCTTAGCACAGGACACTGCTTCCCAGGAGGTCCAGTCCCGGGACAAGCGGTGCATGAACAAGGAGAAACCCCAGACCTCTGCCCTCGAGAGGCTTGGGGGAGCTCCTGAACGCCGAGGGGTCCAGGACCGCCTCGGTGGGAGGGCAACAAGCAGACCCCAAGAAAGCGGAGGCTCCGTCTCAGGGGCCGAGGAGAGGCCTCCCCCGGGATAAAGACAAGGGGCTCCTTCACACGGATGACGCCAGACATCAGATCAACCACGCTCAATCCTTCAGGGCGAACTCCCAAGGGGTTGCCCCGAGGGATCCCAAAGACGAAATCATCGAGGCTCTCCGGTGCCAACTCGAGGAGGCACGTCAGACGTCCCCGACGACATCCACTCCGGGGCCAGACCCGAATTATGCCGCCGTACTAGCGCAAGTGGAAGATATGAAGCGAAAATTCGCCGAAGGCTCAGGCGAACCCCTCATCCAGCTTCGCACGAAGACGCCTTTCACCCCAAGGGTATTGGCAGCTCAGATCCCCGGTAAGTATCGGGGACAACCCATAAAGCCTTATGAGGGGAAGACGAATCCCCAGGAACACTATAGCAGGTACCAAAACAGCATGATGATGATGGGGGCATTAGATGAATATTTGTGTCGTTGGTTCCTTTCCACCTTGGAAGGACCGGCGTCCGAATGGTTCAACCGATTGCCCGAAGGCAGCATTGACTCATGGCAAGAACTTGCCCATCGTTTCTTGACACAATTCGCCGGGAGGCACCGGTCAAAGAAACATTTTTCCCACTTGCTAAATGTGAGGCAACAAAAGGAGGAGCCCCTCTGGAATTTCCTAGAATGCTGGAGGCAGGCGTCGGTCGAAGTCGATGGTGCCGACAATAGGACGTTGATGGCCCTATTCCACACGGTCTTCCGCAACGGTAATTTCTCTAGGAGCCTTATTACTGACCCTCCCCGCGATTATACAAAAGCCCTTCAGCGGGGGGACAGGTACGCCAAGGCCGGGGAGATCGAGAAGGACCGCCGGAATCCGGAACCTGCACAAAGGCACGATGGCAAAAATCGCCCCGGGGGACCACCCCCTCTGGCAAACCGCGAGGCAAGCCAAGCACAATCGCAGAGGTGAGGAATAAATAGGTGAAGTACCGATTATCAACATGGTAACTTACCATGTGGACGAAACCGCAGAGAGGCTGACCAGGGAAGGAAAGAAATGGCGAGCAAGAAGGAAGGCTTGCGCAACGGGAACAAACAAGACTATGGACCGAGTACACTTTTAAGGGTAAATTGGGCTTATGGGAAATAGTGGGTCAATACCAACAATCTTTCTTGAGGGTACGGTGGATAGATTCGTGATCCGAGTAGTATGGACCGAGTACACTTTTAAGGGTAAATTGGGCTTATGGGAAATAGTGGGTCAATACCAACAATCTTTCTTGAGGGTGCGGTGGATAGATTCGTGATCGTCCTCCGTAAAGGGAGCAATTTTGATAACGAAGGCATCAATAGAGGTGTTGCCGATATCCAAGGTCAGTGAAGAAAGGGTCTACTACACGATCTGTTTAAAGGAGCTTGAATTAGGAGGAGACATGGATAGATGCAATGTAAATGCAATATATCCGGATTGCATTAATCAAATAAAAGGTTGAGAATCAATGTGTCTTGGCCGACTTGTAGGTTTAAATTTTTCAGAGAAGTTGAGGATCGAGATGACGACTCAAAGTTGTTCTCGGACAAGGTAAATATGGTGTGACTTCCACTCTGCCGTTTGACACATAAACATTTTAACGTTAAATTCAAAGTTGTACTCACACAACATCAAGATGCTCTCATGCTTGACAAATTAATGTACTACCTTCTCCTAAAAGACTTGTGACTTTTTACAAAAGTATTACTAAAATAAAACATATTTACATAAATATGACTATTGGTTACTACAATGTAGTGTTGTAACTTATGTTTAAAAATTGAAATAATTACTAGGATTTCAATACTACTCTAACACTAATAACATTTTTGTAAATAGTCTTCATTTTAATCATAAATATGTAATTATTTACCGAGAAAGTAAAACTATAAAAACAAATGAAGTAAAAAAAAGGCTTAAGTGTCAAATAGGTCCTTGAACTGACTTAAAGTGTTCAAATAGCCCCTTACATAGGAGGTTCTGCCCGGCCGTCGCTAATTGGGGCGGTTCCCAGTGAAATTTTTTAATGAAATTTTTTGAGCATCTTCTTCATTAAGTCTAGTTTACTCATACCAAATTTCAACTAAAAATTCAACCAGAAAGACAAGTCAAATAATTTTCCGAAGATAACTGGAAAAACTAAAGATTGCAGGCACAACGAAAACGTACGAAGCGTCCAAAGACAAACTGCAGGCAGGCAGTAGCCAGGCACTATGTTGCACGGATACGGATACGGATACGCCGATACTCGGATACGCGGATACGGGTACGGCGATACGGCACTTTCAAAAATTATAGGATACGGGTACGGGGGTATATTTATAAATAATAAAAATATAGGGTATAATTTGCAAATATAAATCATTCAGGGGTTCATAAATAAAATAATAATAGTACAAAAAATTACCTATTATAATAAAGTTTCAAAGATTAGTCTAAAAAAACTAAAGTATTGATATTTTGATTTAAATTCAAATAACATTTTTGGTTCTCTATTTGCATTTACATCTAAGTCTTCCGGTGATGAAATTTGCAAATAGAGTTCACCTCGATGTTGCACCGATACTTCACCTCGATGCCGTTTCAATTAAAGCTCATCAAGCAATGAAATGACAAATTATAGTATTCCGTTATTTTCCATACTCCCAAAATCATCTTTATCAATGTTCCACATGTTGTGGTCGCTTGGGCAGCTACTGAATTTTCGTCATGCCGTGTATCAAATGAGGGGTTATAGGTTCGGATACGCGTATCGGTTCACGGATACGGGTATCGGAAGTATCGATATTTTTAAAATCAAGTCCGATACTTTTATTAAATTAAGGATACGGACCCAATACGTAAGGACGCGTATCGGTGAGTATCGGATACGGATACGTATCGGATACGCGGATACTGCATCGAGGTGAAGTATCGGTGCAACATAGGCCAGGCACCTAAGAAATTCTGTAAAACTCAGAAGAGAGGAGACCCACCGGGCACAGATAGAAAAGAGAAGAAGGAGGAGGAGGAGGAAGAGGAGGAGTGTCGTCGGCGACCACTCGGGTAACGACTCGCACCGGCGACCATTCTGGCGACCACCAGCGGCAGTGAATGCAGCGGCGGTGACCTGCGATCGACGAGAACGAGATAAATCCGGCCGCCAAAGGTCTGAATATCTTTGCCGGCGAGGCATGAATGGATGATTGCATTTGGCATCTCTGAGGGCACTTTTGTGAGTTTTGTCCCTCCCTCTAAAATTACTCCGATTTAAAAACTTTTAACTCCTGTTTTATTACTCGGTTGATTTCCCTTCACACTCGCTTCCTGTCGGGTTCTTCCCTTCTCAGTTCCCGTGAGTGCGCGTGAACTGGCAATAATATCCCCACCCCACCGATTCAGAAAAAGCATCAAATTCCCATTCTGCGTCTGAGAACTGAGATGCTCTGATCACACACATGCATGCTCAAGCTATACATACTCTGTTTTATCTTCATTCTCCCTCTGCTTACTCGCTCTCTCTTTCTTCTAAACTTGCTTAGTTTTCTTTTGCCTGCAATTGCCAACACCGTCTCATTTTCGGCTCTTCTAGATCAAGTCCGCTCCACAATTACATTCTTAATGTTAAATTTCTAACCCCATTAGATCCAGTTCCGGAAAATTGGATGGTATTGGAATCAAGCCAGAGGAATAGGGGAGCTGCAGATAGAAGCTCGAAACCTGGAAACAAATGGCTGATAATTTGGTTCCTGAGAAGCGTCACAGCTTCATCCATAAAGGTACCCTCTCTCTCACTCAGTGTGCATTTGTGATTATTGGTCCCTAACTGGCTGTCGTTTTTAGGGTTTTGTTATTGATTATCATATCAGAATGTCTTCAAATTAGGTGGATCAAGCTTTACTGTAGGGATCATTCATATCATATGACTATTTGCGTGTGTTATTATGGGGTTTGCAGCATGGTCTTGCTAATCATGTGAAGACTAATTGTGCATTCCAAACATAGGTAATGTTTCTACAGATTAGGAGAAAATTAACGTATTTTTCGTCTGTATGCATTGTTCTAACCTCAAAAGACCACATCGTTTGCTTTTATTGGTAGAAGATTTGGCTTATGCTAAGTGTCTTCTTTGAGAAAGTAGTGAACTAGTGATCATGTTATTAATATACAGAAGTATTTGTTTGATTAATATATACTGAAAATTGAAATTGCCCTAAATAGGATTAAAACCTTGTGTAAATGCATTAATTGGAGTTAGTATGTATTATTCCCAATATAGGAGTCATATACTCCCATTTTACTTTTCATATGAATATATGATTCTGAAATATAAAAAATAACCCCAGCTCCGCTGTTTCGCACACTACTCACTTCACCAACTATAACCGCTGTTACTCTCCTCTCACTCATTCAACGCTTTTCTTTCCCCAGCTTTTTTTTTAGTTAGTTACTCTACTCTCTGTTGTTCGCTACTTTACTATCCTCCATTAGATGTCTCTTCATTTTATATACTTTGTATTAGATGTTTTCTTCTATTTTACTGTCCTCCATTAGATGTCTTTTCCTTTTATTTTGTATTTTACCAAGTACTCCGTATAATTCTCTTTTGGTCAGGGCCTACACGATAAACATTCACCATAAATTTGATGTTGTATTATTTGTTCTTTGTTTTCCCAGAGTTCATCTTCATACAAATTCATTGTTCCATACTTCCATAACCTGCACATTCACCTGCATATGATTATTAAGTTGACTATCACAACAATTCTTTTTCTTATTGCGACTAGTTGATACAAAATCGCAAATTAAACTATTTAAAGAGTTATATCTCTGTTTAATATACTTGATTATGCATATTTTCTATTTGTTTGTATGAAGGTATTTCATAGCTATTAATCTGTCATATAGGTTTAATTTAAAAGCTGTCACCTGCTAAGGATTGCATCTTACGCTTTTTGGCAGTTTTGAAGTTGTTAAATGCCATCCTTTTGTTATAAATGTCACATTCACGGTCACATTCAAAGTTTTTTACGAATGAAATTGATCTGAAAATCCCACACCCACAGGTATTTGCCTACTAGATTTTTCGCAAATTGCCAATGTTATCAGCACAAGAAACATAACAAATTGTCACTTTCATTATTCAATTTATAACTACTTCATTTTGCATGATAACTTCTACATGTGCAAACTGCCTCATAATTGTCAGTTTTCTATATGCCATGTAGGTAATATTTTTAAAACTGCCTCCTGTTAAGGATTTCAACTTACCCTTTGTCATTTTTGAAGCTCTTAAATGCCATCTTTTATTGATAAATGTCACATCCACTACCACATTATTCTAAATTGTTTACCTTTTAAATTGGTCCCAGTATGTCACGTTCGCACCCGTTTGCCTGTTATATTGTTCCCAGTTTGTCAAAGTTGTCAATGGAAGAAACATGACAAACTGCCACTTCCATTATTCCAGTCATCACTTTTTAAAGAAAGATAACTTCTGTATGTAAAGACTGCTAAATAATTGTCATTTTGGAAACTGCTAAAGCTCTCAACACAACAAGCATAACCATGTGTCATTTTTTAGACAACAAGCATAACAGTTTTCATAGTCACGCCAGCACATTGCGGTGTTTAGCTATTGCCGATTTATTCTTCATTTTTCTATATAATTCTATTAATTCGGTGGAAATCGAATTTCACCTCTGTCCTTAAGTTTTGCCGCCATTGCCGGAAACTTCAAAAAATTAATGTCATAGATTGTCAACAATAATTCAAATTTTGCCAAGCAACAAAAAGTTGCAGATCCTAAACTGCTTTGTTTCTTCCATGCTTTCAAAAGAGTGCATTTTTTGCCATTGGAAACTTCTAGTTTTTGCTCTTCTCTCTCTACTTCGCAGACCTGGGTATAGAGTTCCATGATTTCCATCTTTTTTCAATTTAGAAGAAACCGGGAGGTTTCTGTTTCAAGTCAACTCTTTAAAAGGGCGTATTCGGAATTTGGTCAGCTTTTTACTCCTATTTTCGCACTTTCACCTAGTTACTCCTATTTAGGCCATTTTCACTAAATATATGGCATTTTCGAAACATCCATCAATACTAAAAAGTACCCGTATTATGAAGAAGTGCGTGTTTTTTGTATGGGAAAGATGATATTTTCTACTGATATAAAGGCATATCCTTTTCAGCGAATTTCATAATTTCATGTCATTTATTGGTAATTGTTTGCATATAAAGTGATAATAATTTTAGGGCAACCCTTTTTAAGACTGACAAACTGGAGGAACCAATTTATGCTTCATATAAATGTATTTTTTTATGCTTGCTGCTGTTAACTGAAATGACATCTTACAGGTGATAATGATACAAGGCATGCAACCCTTCAGGATAGGGATAGTGAACAGACTTGGTCTTCTCCTATCGTGGATCAAGGTCAGTTGAATGCCACATACCTTGCATCTTCATCTACCCGTCGCTACTCCTGCCTTGTCGTCGGGAATTACTGCCATGATGTTCTGTTCAAAGATAACAGCGTCATCACAGAATCCATTGGGGGCGCCACCTCCTTTATCTCTTCTGTGCTTGATGGATTCAATGTCGCGTCATGTTATGTTTCCAAGGTGGGCCCTGACTTTGCTTACCCCGTTACCCACCGGCCTCTAGTTTCATCTTCTTCGCGAACGACTGTATTCCATGCCTATTTCTCGTCTGAAATCAAGCGCCAGGATCGGATTCTCAAGCGGGTTAGGGCATGCGAACCGATCTCACCCTGTGATCTCCCCAACTCAAAATTCGATTTTGGGTTGGCCGTCGGTGTTGGCGGGGAGATTTTACCCGAAACCCTCGAGCGGATGATCGATATATGTAAGATAGTCCTTGTAGATATCCAAGCGCTGATTCGGATCTTTGACCCAGCAGACGGAACAGTGAACCACGTTGACCTGAATCAAACAGGGTTCTTTTATCTACTCCCTAGAATAGGATTTCTGAAGGCCTCATCAGATGAAGCACCGTTCTTGGATGTGGAGGAGGTGAGGAAACAGTGTTGTGTGGTGCTGACCAATGGCAATGAGGGCTGCATGGTGTTTACTAAGGATTCAGAGCTAAAGATTGCACCATTTCCTACAATTCAAGTTGATCCAACTGGAGCTGGGGATAGCTTTTTGGGTGGATTAGTAACCGGACTTACTCATGGATTAACCGTGCCCGATTCTGCACTATTAGGAAACTTGTTTGGGTCGCTGACTGTTGGGCAAATGGGGCATTCTAAATTTGACCCTCGGCTGGTACAGGTTAGTATTGATACAGTTTGTCTTTGGATTCTGCTGGCTTTAATTTCATGAACCTGAACCATGAAAAATTATTTAAATTTTTGTCCCCAAATTGTTAGGGTACTTTTACCTTTGATATATGTCTCATTGTTTACCTTCTTTAAAGATCAATATAGAGATATCTGCCATGTAGTGATTGGAAGGTTCAAAATGATAAAAAAAAATCACAGTCATGCTTAAAGAGTGAAGAAAGCAAAATTTGTTGACTAGAAGTAAAATGAGACCAGCCTGAGACCAAAATTGAAAATCAATTTTTGGGAAAAAAAATTGCTTCAGAACTAACAAGTACTCTATGAATTGCCTGGGTGTGAAAAAGTATCTGATTTTTACATGTAGCACCGTAGCACCCTCACTACTAACCCCGCATTAATCACAACAGTCTAAAAATGCAGGGTTTTTATACCTTAGAGAATGATAGGACTTTGGGCTTTTAAGATGCACTAGATATTGAGTACGTTTTCTGGCTAAACCTATGTATGGCGCTTTTTATTAAAAAAATTGAGGTTCATCCATTGTTTGTAATTGCGCAAAGCAATTGTGCCTCATGACATGCCTCAGCAAATCCCTGGACTATGGTGTAAAAGGCATTGCATGTGACGTTGGGAGTGTGGCGTACGCAATATTGCATTGAGGCTTAGGCAATATTGCATACGCAATAAGGCGTTGAGAGGCGTACACAATAGGAGGTTAGGATGTAAGGGTATTATTTGGGCTCACTCGACCCAATTCTTAACTTTTATACTTGGCATATTCTTCATTTCTCATCCCTATTTCAAACTAGATAGCAATAAATTGATTTTCCCGCCATCAATCTAATAAACTTAAATTTTAATATGTTGGGAATTTTGTTATGATACCAATTTAGGAATGTTTGCTATCTTGTGATACTTTGAACATTTTACTTTCCTAAGAATATGATCTCTCTATAATTTGTTTTAATATGACATTTGATAACTTTAAGTGAGTAAATATTTTTTATTTTTTAGTGTTTATGTGTATATATATGTGTGTAGTACGCTTCAGGCATACGCCTCATTGCGCAAAATTTTATACTTCGTATTATATTTGGCCGGTGTGAGATGATGAGATGAATTAAAAAGCCTGTAAAAAATGATGGCTCCTTGGAAAAGCCGGGAAGTGAAATTTATCCCTCTGTAAATATTTTTCGTAATCTTTGTGAAATCGAAGTGTGACTTTGATTGTGAAACGGAGGGAGTATTTATTTATCGTTATCTTATTCGTTTTATCTTTTTTTTTTCTTTTTTTTTTCTTTTCTTTTTTTCTCTTCTTCTCGTTTGTCTTCTCTTTTTGACATCGATATCATGGATCGATGGTCATGTTGTTGTTGTTGTTGTGAGCACTTGGTTTATTTTGGTAAACTAGTTAACTAGTTGAGATTATTGTTGTGTATTTTTCAAGGAGAGATTATTTTTGTAAAATGTATAAAAGTAGGGATTATTAGCGTCAATTTTGCCTCTTAAGACTTTGAAGGTTGACTTTGAAGTGAATATGATACACCGAGTCACCCGTAGTATATGTGAACTTGTAGTATTATATGACTTTGAAGGTTCAACACTTCCTACTATAAGGTTAAATTTATACTCTCTTAAATCACCGTGATTTATTTGTTCATTTACTTATTTCCTTGACAGAGAGTGAAAGAAGAGGTGGATAAGAGGAGAGAGGATCATTTTGATGGCCTGCAGTTTTTTAGAGCTCTTGATGCTGCGAGATCATCATCTCTTGCTGGAAGCTTTCTCCAGAAAAGTAAGAAGGAATTACCAAACAACACTAGTGGAGCAAAGTGCAATGATCAATCTTTGCTTCTTTCCATCTGTGAAAAAGAAGAACCTCATTCAATCAGTTGAAAAACAAAACAGTTATTTGGTTTTAAGGATATATATATATACTTTCCCTCCACGTCCCCTGTCTGAAATTAGTTGGTTTATAAATAAAGCTTATGGAGATCAAAATATATTTTTTTTTTAAAAATCTATTTCATGGTTTCCTAATTATTATAGTTTAATTATGATACGAAGTATAACATACTCATTGATGGCAAACGCATTTTTCAGGTTAATATTCATAGTTTCATTAGTTTGCTCAATAATTCTTTACACCGCATAAGAATAACTGAATACCATTGAAGTATCTGTAAGACAGTAATGGTCTCAATATGATCTAGATCGAGAAAGCTGGCAAATAAGTTATTAAAAATGTCAATTAAGTTTTTGTACTATATAATCATCTAATCAAATTCCTAAATTATAAGTAGATATAATAATTATATAAATAATATATATGTAGAGAGAATTGGAGAAGATGAAGATGATTGAATATGAGAGAATAGAGAATCAGAGAGTAGGAAGACTTGTAGGAGAAGAGGTGTAAAAAATGTATAGAAAATAGGAGTATAAATAAGATTTTTTTGTATCCCCCACCCCCAAATAAGTTATTATTTATAAATATTACTAATATTTATTATCTACTTAATATATACTTGTTATCTACTTAATATTTACTTGATATTAGTTATTATCTATACTTGTTATATATTAGGTCCGGAGGTCGGGTTTTGTTGGTCTGGACAGTAGTTATTTTTCTGGTGATATATTTCTTATCTTGGCTCTATTTTGATTCCATACACCTTAATGTGCTTACTTCCAAGGATATGATAATTTTGTATGCCTCTAGTATTATCTAGAGAAGACTTTGTACTGCTCCTTTGATGATGATAGTGGATTTAAGCGGCCAAAATGGTCCCGTGGTTTTTCCCTAGTTAACGGGTTTTCCACGCTAAACTTTCGGTGTTTTTGTGTGGTGTGTGCTTACTATTTTAGCTGATTATATTGGTGTGTGGCAGCAATATTGTGTGTGTTCTAATTGCATTAAGAACACCTATTTGTTTGCATCCTCAAAGGCTCATTCAAGTTGGGGAAAGTTTAGCCAAACGGAGATTAATTCCGCATTTTATAGTTCCGTTTGTGGTTGTTTTTCCCATCAAGGTGTCCACTGCTTGTCTCCTCCATTTCGTTCACGTATAGCACTGCCGGTCTGCCTCATCCCATTCGACCCTTTGTGCCACCGTCTGCGCCTCTGACTCGCTCTGCAACTTAGTTCAACGGCCGCCATCTTTACCTATCCAGTCAGCCTCCATTTCTATCAGTCTTGCAAGAAGCCGTTGTCTAGATATGGTTGATGTGCCTCTCCATTTGCTTAGCCTGGGAGTGAGGGATGACTCCGACGGTAGCCGCCACAAGTTGCAACTCCAACGATGGCGTCCACGAACTGCAACTCCGACAATGGAGGCCACAAGCTGCAACTCCAGCGACGGCGGTCACAAGCTGCAACTCCGGCGATGGCTGCGATTCAAGATCTAATTCGCCTCCTTTGTGCGAACAGGAAGGGAGTTCTGAATTTCTCTTCCCCGGTGTGGAACTGCGAACACTGTGGGAAAGCAAGAAAGAGAAAAAAAGGAAGAAAAGAAAAAAAAAAGTAAAAATAAAATTAAAAGACCACATGAACGGCCCACGTAAGCTAATAACCGGGAAACTTGTTCTATGCCGGTTAAACGTCTTAATTGAGCAGTTTTTATGAGTTTAAGGGATCAATTGTTTGATTCCAAAGTAGGAGGACTTAATTGACTTGTTTGGTACAGTAAGATGACCTATTTGACGGTTTTCCCTTTTTTTAACTACCTCAAATAAGATAAATTTATGTTTTAAGAATTAAGTATACCTCCCTAATAGCAACACTCTGTTGAAACTTCAAACAAGGAATAACTTTCTACTCCCAAGTTCTTGTTACGTCTCGATGGACTTTGGTAACTTTAAGGAGGCATTTACTTTGCTACTAAAATCATAGTTCGGTTAGGATGTTTTCTTTTGGACTCTTTTCAGTCCCAGACCAGACCATATCAGACTAGATCAAACCAGATCAGATCAGACATGATCAGACCAAACCAGACCAGACTTCCGTAGTTATAAAATACACAGGGACCAGATCAGATCAGACCAGATCATACCAGACCAGCAAATTTTAGTCCAAAAGAAAATATCCTTAGTAAGACATGTGAAGCAAACACGCAATTGATTAAAAAGTTGTTTACTAATCAAAAGATGTGTTTAAAATGTCGCTTACTAAGCATACTACCCCCATGTATTAATTAAGCAACACTTAAAGCTTTTTCAGATTCCAGATTTACCCTTACCCTTATCCTTATCCTATTGTTACCCAACCCCCCACCCATACCCCACACCAATCGACCCCACCCCCCACCCCCTTACCCCCACCTCCCTTACCCCTGGGCCCTGACCCCACCCTAACCCCATCTTACCCCAACTTACTCCTAGCCTTTATCACCCTACACCCGACCATACCCCTTACCCGACTCCAATGGCGGACCCACTAAGGGTCCCATGGGGTCACGGGACCCCGTGGACTTCCAAAGCAATACCTATATATATTATTTATATTTTAAATAAAATTAATTTGTAAATGTATATAAATAATAATAGCGCCCAAAGAATTGAATGACTTAGCACCTTTTTTTTGTCTTTTTGCATAATTCATTTAAATTTATACTTTGCACCATCCTTATTGAATTTGAACCACCCAATGGAAGGAAATTCCCAATCAATCCACTGCCTTATTTCTTTGTTTAGTTTTTACTTTTATTGAATTTTAACCCTTGCATAAATCATTTTTTGGGATTAATTATTAAAATTTATTTGAATGTTAAAATTAATTTATTAAATAGAATTTGCTTAATATACAACTAAAACATATACAAAATTAATTTATTAAATAGAATTCGCTCAATATACAACTAAAACATATACAAAGTTCAAAAATAGGGCCAAATATGTTTTAATCCCCAAATGAGATTTATTTAGTCCTGTTAAAAGAAAAAACTTGACTAAAACTTCTTAAAACAGGAGTGAATGAGTCCTAATTTTGGAATAAAACATTGATTTTCAAATTATGAATTTTATCCCTATTTTAGTCCTATTTAGAGAATGTTCTCATTATTAAATTTGTGTATTTGTGAATGTTTTTTTCAATATTTTACGATTTAGGATGAAAAAATATTTCAATAGTGTACCCAGATTTAAAGAAATTCGGAGTATCAGGAGTAATTAAGATGTTAATTCAAATGATTCATCATTAGTAAAAGAAGAAGAAATGTTCGTTTTGAATCTTTATAGAAGTTGATTCTAGATTGAGAGAAAAAATGTTGATTTTCATCCTAATGTTCAAAACGAGGTAAGCCGCAGTTACATTCAAAAAGGATCGTTTCACCCTCGGAATCATGATTTCTCTTTTAAGAAAATTGACGGCAAAAGACGTAGATTTGTTTTAGGTTGGTTTGATGAGCATTAATGGTTCAAATACACTATTGCCAAAAGGCCGCATTTTGTTTATCATGTTATTTGTTTAAGAATGAGTGAGAAGTCGGTGGTGATTGTGTTTTGGGAATAGGGTTTCAGATATGATGCTACATTTTGTATAACATGTTATGTCCCTTTTAAGATCGATGCTGCATTTTTTGACCATCTTATTTGTTTATCATGTTATTTGTTTAATTTTATATTAATTAAAATAACATTTAGATAGGGACCCATGACCTTTTCTGGATCCGCCACTGCCCGACTCCTATCCCGACGCACACTTTACCCCCTACCTCGACCCCGTACCCCTACCCCTTATGCCCCTACAGTTACCACCCCTGCCCCTGTCTTAAGTCCTTACTCGTATCCAGGACCCCGGCCTATACCACACCCAGCGGATTCTTCTGAGATTCCCCTCCATCGTACCCAAAAGTACAAAACCTTCTTCCTGAACCGTTGGAATGTTGGTTTTTTTTTTTTTTTAATAAATTAAACGTATAAGCTACCCAATCTCCCGTTTCCCGAATTAGGGGTTACGTAGATTCTCCGAAATAGGGGTTACGTAGATTCTCCGTCTGCCTTGATGTTTCAACTAACAAAATTGCATCTTGATATTTATTCACCGGCAATGATACAGCGCCGTTCTTCTTTTGGTTTAGTCAAGTTCAGTCATTGGTGGATGAACTTAAGTTAGGGTTTTGTATTGTGTAGAACGGACCTCAGTTTTGGTAGCTTCCCAGCTGTATTATTCGTAAATAGCCGTTAGATTGCTTAGTACACCATTGATTGAACTCCTTTGTTGTATCTTTTAAGATATACACTATAATTTACCGGAACTAGTCAGAGAATGAAGCACCAGAAAAAGAAAACGAAGGGTCCCAAAGCTCCCAAGGAATGCGAGGTTAGCAATATCGGAGATTCTCCATGGGATGGAGAGATCATGTGGATGAGATTATTGGAGCCTTTCGCCTCTGTTTCAATTGACGAAGCTGCATCAGCTTACAGGGAAGCTAATGGTGACCTTAACAGGGCCGCCGAGATTCTCGGGAATTTAGGGGAAACTGCAGAGGATCAAAGCACTACCTCATCGATCTCGAGATGGTATGCTAGTTCGAGTTCATCCGAGCTGTCTGAAGAGGACCATTGTGCTCAATACAGGGTGTTGCAGAAGAGTAAGATGAAGAAGTTCGTAGCTTCTGCTGGGACAGTTTCCACAGTGTTGGGGAAGGACTGTGTGAGCTCTCTGCCAAAGAAGCAATTGTCTGGACAGAAGAAGTTTGGTTTGGAAAGCTACAGCAAGGAAGAATCTGAGCAGTTTTTATGCTCAATGCTGGGAGAGGAGTGCCATTTGAGTTTAGCTGTGATTAGAGACGTGCTCTGTGAGTTCTTTTATTCGTCTTCTTTTTTCATTAAAGCGTTGTAAGCTTGTGCATAATGCATTTGTCTTTTAGGTTGATTTTAGTCGTTTTTCGCAATCAAACTATATCATTCTGTTTATTAGCTCGTAGAAATTTTGCATTGAGTTTTTTGCTCTGAGTTTGAATTTATTTATTTATTGCAGGTGAGTGTGGATATGATTTTTATAAGGTACTCAACTGTTAGACTCATAGTGGTCATGGCGCACGGCGATCGCCATGGCTCAAAGGCATTTTTCATGGCGCATAAAGCGCATATGGCGCTATGGCGACAACCAGTTTTTCATGGCGATGGCGCATATGGCGCGCGCCATATCTAGCCATTGACTACTATGACTTAGACTTTTCCTTCTATTTCCTGGTTCATGAATATTTTTATTTTTATTTGTTAAGCTTCATTCATCATGAATTAATGCTATTTTTGTCTGATAACCGTCATTCTTGTACAGCTGCAATTTATTTGACAACACTTCTGATCATATAAGTAACAATATTTTTTTCCGATTACTTCTAATGACGTTCCAGGCTCTGAACATTTTGCTCGAATTATCGTCATCATCATCATTTGAGCAATCTGATAAGAGAGAAGAGGGTTTGTTACCTCCTGAATCAAATGATAATGTACGTAAATCTCATCTCTAATGTCCCCCCTAATATCTGATCTAGAAAGTGACTATTTTTGGCCTTTTCTTTCTATTTGGCCTCCCACAATTGTACAATTATTTTCTTTCTATCTCATCACCTCAATCACAAATAATAATAAAAATTCATTGACTGACGAATTCTAGTTGCAATATGTAATATTGAGATCATATCGACTTGCAATCTTGGGAGTTATATTAATCATCTTGATGACTTTGTTTAGCATCTCTGATATGACAGTCAGGCATATTCTCTAGATATTGTCCTCCCAAAATATGATGTTTGAGACCATCTCTCTATTTATCACATATCATAGCAATAATGGGGGCATCTTTTTGTCTGATGCTACTATTTCTGCAGTTGACCAACAAAATTTTCTGTTCTTCTTACTCATCTAGAAGCAACATTCAAGAACAAATGTTGTATGCTGGAAATCCATCCAGGTACCCGTGTTTTCTATCTCATCACCTCGTATCATTTCATCACCAGATTTTTGTGTTTCTTGGGTTAACTTTGGTTTTGAGGAGAATCATACTCATCACTCATCATCATTACCACCACCACTATCACCACTACCACCTGATCACCTCTATTCTAATTTCTAACAATTTTGGAATCAATGGGTTAAAAGTTTTAGTGAGTTAATTGGTATTTTTTAGCAGTCAAGATTCATCCAAAAAATATAGTGGCACTTCTATGCTGGATGTCCTTTTTGCTGCAAACTTTTTTGGGCTTGCTACTTGCAAGATGTCAAGGTCAACCCACTAGTCAGCCTAACAGTTACCCAGACACGCTTTATTCAGCATAGTAGTAGATGGCGCAAATGGCGATCGCCATTTCACGCCATTGGCGTTTCAGTGGGCGAACGCCACTATTCATGACTATTGCGCAGGGTCTACATATAGCGTCGCCATATGAGTGCCATCGCCACGCCATCGCTTTTTTGCGCCATAAAAAGACGTTCATTTCAATTTTTGGGCCTAGAATAATAAAGGCCCTTTGCTTACGTGGGTTGCCCTACCTGATTAATTTACATGTGACTTTGAACATAGAAACAAAAACGGCTAATAATAGCAAGAACGACTCTTTATCTACGTTAGAGAGTGGGGACAAGAGTTGATGGAGCGACCAGATAGCAGCGACAAGAGTTGACGGAGTGACCAGACAGCAGCGACCACCCAACGAGCACCTAGCTATCGGTGACCACCCAACACCCTTCTGTGAACTGCCTAATATCCGCGACCACCCTGGCGAACACCCAGCTGTGCTTCCTCAGAGATAAAAACATGTAATTCCTCCGATATTTTTTTTTCGACTTTGAGCATATAACTCCTTATAAATATGTATGAATCAATGTGATTGTGTGTCCTTAGTCCTTACCATATTTTATATACTAGCGACATGTGTCCTCCATCTCCTTATCATCTATGTTATGGTCTTAACTCTTATAGACATATTATTAATTATTTATATACTTTGTATTATGTATGCTATGTATATGCACTTATGTGATTATTTGTATATTGTGTTATATTAGTATGTATGTTTTTAGTGTATTTATTATGTATGTTCTATTGTTATGAGTTATGACTAATGGATACGTATTCTACGTTATGCTATTATGTATGTTATGTTATTATTATATTATATTATATTATATTATATTATATTATATTATATTATATTATATTATATTATATTATATTATATTATATTATATTATATTATATTATATTATATTATATTATATTATATTATATTATATTATATTATATTGTACATCTAGCGTCGCCACTATTCATGACTATTGCGCAGGGTCTACATATAGCGTCGCCATATGAGTGCCATCGCCACGCCATCGCTTTTTTGCGCCATAAAAAGACGTTCATTTCAATTTTTGGGCCTAGAATAATAAAGGCCCTTTGCTTACGTGGGTTGCCCTACCTGATTAATTTACATGTGACTTTGAACATAGAAACAAAAACGGCTAATAATAGCAAGAACGACTCTTTATCTACGTTAGAGAGTGGGGACAAGAGTTGATAACAATGAAATTTCTAATATACATCTACGTCAAAGTGTTTAGTACATCAATTTTTAATGTTTGATCAATGTCTTATGTTTGTTTATTCAGAATGTCAAGTGCATATGCAAATGAGTATTGTAAAAAGCTGAATGAGAAGGACAATAAAGCTTTGGAATGCAACTTTTGTGGGCATGTGACCAAAGGCGGGATTACAAGAATGTAACAACACTTGGCAGGGAGTCACTGCAACACTAGAAAATGTGACTTAATCCCTGCAAATAAGAAGGCAACCCTATAAGTGTTGGTTTTGAAAGAAGCTAGTTCACGACCCAAAACAAACTTACTTGAAAATACATTTCGGAGTACATACACGGAGGGCTGTCTAGATCTAATGCAAAGCACGACAGTGAAGATGACTTTGAGATAGCTGAGGGTTCTTCAAATCCGGTGGCAATGGACCTATGGATAAGTTTGTTTATCCAACAAAGAAGCGAAAGAAGGGGGACTTGATCCAATATACGATCTCATCAAAGATGAAATCAAAAGAGCGGGAAGAATATGCTCAAAGCTTATGCTTGTGGATGTATAGAAATTGCATTCCATTTAATATGGTTCGGACCGTTGTTTAAAGAATCACTTGAAAAGATAGGGAGATGTGGGGCCGGATTTAAGGCACCTACATATCACGAGATGATGGAATTTTTTTTACGTATGGAGGTGGAGAAAACTAATGAAGTGGTAAGGGAGCATAGGAAATTTTGGGAACTAGATGTGTGCACCATAACGTCTGATGGTTGGCAAGATAAAAGACATATAACTATTGTAAACTTTTGTGCCTATTCCATCAAGGGGACTATTTTCATGAAATCCATTGATGTTTCATCATATAAGAAGACCGGTGAAGCTTTTTTAAGTTGTTTTATGACTGGATTCAAGAAATTGAGCCGCAAAGTGTAATACAGGTTGTGACAAATAATGCTAAAAATTATGGTTAACTAAGAGGAAGATTGAGCAAAGATACCCACACATCTTCACATTCGGTTGTGCTGCACACTCTCTTGACTTTATTCTTGAAAATTTTTCTAAGAAAATTCCAATAGTAGCAAAAAGATTCAAGACGGCCCAAGGTATTACTACTTACATTTATAATCACACTCTTGTTTTCGGCTTGATGAAAGACTTCACTAACGAGAGGGAGTTGGTGAAACCAGCCGCAACCAGATATGCAACGAACTTCTTGACTTTTCAAAGCCTCCTCACTCAAAAACACTCCTTGAGGCAGATATTTAATTCACCAAATTGGTTTGAAAGTGATTTTGCAAAAACAATAGCGAACAAAACATGTTGTGATGAAGTTTATCGCCAAACATTTTGCATCACCCAAACATTTATCAAGTTAGTATCTTCGCCACGCACTTGATAAATCCATCACAAACTTCTGCATCACCCAACACTTGCCATGAATTCGAATAGAAGAATTGTGGATTTAAATAATATCCCGTGGCATGTAATGGAGAGTGAAGATTTTCATCCCAACGCTTATCGACAATCCTTCACAGCGGCTTGTATTTCTCTTCTCTCCCTCCAAATGTGTGTTTAATTCGAAGTTGTGCTCTCTCCATAGCTTCATATATGAGAGCATATATAAAACCCATGGGAGGCAAATCTCCATCCACAATTCTCAACACCTTCACAAGAGGCAACAAAATCTTCATCACAAATCTCACGCTTCACCAAAACGTTTGGCGGTAAACTTCATCACAAGTATTCGCAACATGTTTTGCCCTCTATTGTTTTTACAAAGTCACTTTCAAACCACTTTGGTAAATTAAACATCTTCCTCAAGGCGTGTTTTTGAGTGAGGAGGTTTTCAAGAGTCAAGAAGTCTGTTGCAAATCTAGTTGCGGCTGGTTTCACCAACGCCCTCCTGTTAGTGAAATCTCTCATCAAATCCAAAACAAAAGTGTGATTATAAATGTAAGTAGTAATACCTTAAGCCGTCTTGATCTTTTTTGCTACTATTAAAATTTTCTTAGAAACATCTTCAAGAATAAGGTCAAGAGAGTGTGGAGCACAATTGGATGTGAAGATGTGTCAGTATTTTTGCTCAATCTTCCTCTTAGCTAACCCATAATTTTTAGTATTATTTGTCACAAACTACAACCTGTATCACACTTTGCGGCCCAATTTCTTAAATCCATTCATCAAACAACGAATAAAGAGCTTCACCGGTCTTCTTATATGATGAAACATCAATGGATTCCATGAAAATAGTCCCCTTGATGGAGTTGACACAAAAGTTTACAAGAGTTTATGTCTTTTGTCTTGCCAACCATAAGACATTATGATGCACTCATCTAGCTCCCAAAACTTCCCATGCTCCCTTTGCAGTTCATCACTTTTCTCCACCTCCATACCTAATTTCCCCCCTCTTCTTATGATATGTAGACGCCTTAAATCCAGCCCCAAAACTCCCTATCTTTTCGAGTGTTTCTTTAAACAACGGGTCACAAACCGTATTCAATGAAATGCAATTTCTATACATCCACAAACATAAGCTTTGAGCATATTCTTCCCGCTCTTTTGATTTCATCTTTGATGGGATCGTAGATTGGATCAAGTCCTCCTTTCGCTTCTTTATTGGATAAACAAACTTATCCATAGGCCTACCACCATCGGCTCCCATCGGATTTGAAGAACCCTCAGTTATCTCAAAGTCATCATCTTCACTGTCGTGCTCTGCATTAGATCCAGACAGCCCTCCAGTGTATGTACTTCGAAATGTATTTTTAAGTACGTTTGTTTCGGGTTGTGAACTAAGGCTTTTGGGACTAAGGCTTGGATGTTGTTGTTGTTGTATACATATTGCCTACATTCTTGACAAAACCGTAGATGTATATTAAAAATTTCATTGGTATATGTATGCATAACAATATAACATACATAATAGCATAACATAGTATACGTATCCACAAGTCATAACTCATAACAATAGAACATAAATAATAAATACACTAAAAACATACATAATAATATAACACAATATACATATAAGTGCATATACATAGCATACATAATATGAAATATATAAATAATTAATAATATGTCCATAAGACCATAACATAGATGATAAGGAGTTAAAGGACACATGTCGCTAGTATATAAAATATGGAAAGGACACACATATTTATAAGGAGGTATATGCTGACAGTCGAAAATAATGTGTGAGGAATTACCTGCTAGGCGGTTCACAGAAGGGTGTTGGGTGGTCGCTGATAGCTGGATGCTCGTTGGGGGGTCGCTGCTATTTGGTCGCTCCGTCAACTCTCGTCGCACACTTTCTAACGCAGATACAGAGTCGTTTTTGCTATTATTAGCTGTTTTTATGTTAAAAGTCACATGTAAATTAATCAGGTAGGGCTGAGAACTCAGAAGTCAACCCACGTAAGCAAAGGACCTTTATTATTCTGGGCCCAAAATTGAAATTAATGCCTTTTATGGCTCAAAAAAGCGATAGTGATGCTATCTGTAGACCCTGCGCAATAGCCATGAACAGTGGTGTTCGCCCACTGAAACGCCAATGGCAAGAAATGGCGATCGCCATTTGTGCCATCTACTACTATGAATGCAGGAGCACAGGCTACTAGGAAATTGTAGGAATAAAGGCAAGCATATTTTAGCAAAAAATTAATAATTCTGTAGATACCCAGAATATTGAAATACCCTACAGGGTATTGAATTATTCTCCACTTGATCAAGGCATATATGTTATATGATTGGATAGATAATACTTAAAGATTTTTTTAATGAATTTCAACTGTAACCAGTTTGTTTTCCAAAATGTAATTCCTCTTTATTTCAGGGATCAATATAAATTGCTGCATGAGATTGAGCGTTCTTCACCACCCCAGGGAAATTCAGAGTCACAAGTCTCAAAGGACGTTCTGAATTCTTTGTTTAATGTGCCCACCCTAAAGACGGTTGAACATGTGCCGGGTAATGTAAAATGGAGAGATGTGGTGACAAAAATGACATCCTTGGGACTCAACTCTGAACCTTCCCCTGCGAGCAGTGTTATACACATTCATAACTATGGTATTTAGCTTCATTGGAGTATATGTGATTCTATTTGTTGCATTTTCTATTTACTAATATGAATATCTTAAAGGCGTGTTTGAGTGGTTGGTATTTGTACTCCTATATCTTGACAAATAGATTGTTTGTAAAGCAAATAAATTGTACGATACAACCATACATTAGGTCTTTGAATTATTATGAAGTCTTATACTTACATATATGTTATACTACATATGTGTGTCAGTGTGCATGTGAGATACAATAGGTACAAAAATAGTATCCATTGTGACTTGATCGCAAACATTAGATTCAAGATCAAATTGCTAGAATCATTTTGGCCAACATAAAAATCTGCGAACATTTTACACTTCTAGGGATGTCAAAAAACCCAACCTGCAATGACCCGCCCTGGCTCGAGACATTTGGGGCGGGTCCGCCCCGCCCCGTCTTACAAATGGGGCGGGTCCGCCCCGCCCCGCCTATACAATGGGGCGGGTCCGGGTATTAGTATTAACTTGTGCCGCCCTGACCCGCCCCGCCCCGACCCGCTCAATATATAAGTATATATACTTTTTCTTAAATTATACTACAAATATACTTCAACATACATATGTGTGTATACAATAAATCATAAATTCTTTGATCTTATAATATATATATATATATATATATATATATATATATATATATTAGAATGAGATGAACGACGTATTATCAATGTCTTCTTTATATGTAGCATTTAAATACATATATTCAATTATTAATATAATTAAATAGATTAACTATTCACATCTGAGTAATCTTTCCTTAATTTTTGAAATTTTTAGCGTATCATGAATTTGATTTAATATATTAATTTTTAATTATAATTATTATTTAGAGATAAACTTTATGTAGATTCAATTGGTAACAACTTCCCACAAATAAAATTACATACTAGCTAATTAGGTTACGGCGGGGCGGGGTGGACCCGCCCTGCATGGGCGGGTCATGAGTCAACAAGTTTGGACCCGTGCAGGTCACGGGGCGGGTCCGGGTCTTGGAGTACCCGTCCCGACCCATTGCCATGCCTATACACTTCAAGCTAAAGAAACTTTATCCATCCCTGGAGGGGTACACATTGAATACCTTTGTATATATAAGTATAAACACAAACATATACGAAGTATATGTGTGTGTGTGTGTGTGTGTGTATATATATATATATATATATATATAGAGAGAGAGAGAGAGAGAGAGAGAGAGTGGCGTTCCTGTCCAGCCGGCCTGACAGAAACCGCCGTCCGACCAAGGCCATTTAGGCCCCTTCCGGGTGGAATTTTTTGATGAATTTTTATGAACATGTTCTTCATCAAGTCTAGTTTAGTCGTACCAAATTTCAGCTAAAAGTTCAATCAGGAAGGCAGTCAAATAAATTAATTAAGAACACTGCGCAGTTAATATATATAAACAACGCAATATTTTTCAAAAACTCATTTGATTGTCTTCCTGGTTGAATTTTTAGCTGAAATTTGGTATGGGTAAACTAGACTTGATGAAGAACATGCTCAAAAAATTTCATAAAAAAATTCCACCAGGAAGGGCCCTAAACAGGCTCGGCCGGACGGCGTTTCCCGTCAAGACGGCTGGACATGAAGATTTGTCTATATATATATATATGTGTGTGTGTGTGTGTGTGTATATTTATATACAGAGAGAGAGAGAAAGATGTTTACAATGCAGAAAGTTTGAGAAAAATGCAGTCCTGTATTTGTAAATAAACCAATTTTTCAGCCATCACGAACAATGCATTATTCAAAAGTCAAAGCATAAAAAGTGCACCACAGTGGACCACAGATACATCCTTTTGCATGATTAGCACCTCACCGGCCTATATGTGTGTGAGAGAGAGACCCACACCGTGCTTGCTGTCTCACACACAATGAACTTCAGAGAGCGGGAAGAGCATGGGGCGGGACCGGGCTTGGGCCCACTTCTGTGGGCCGGTTTAGGGCTATCGTTATAGTCTATTTAGTATTATTACGTTAATGTTATGTTTTAGTTTGTGCCTATTATTAGTAGAGTATTTAGTAGAGTTATTATGGGCCTAATTAGGAGTTATTTATTTTGGGCTTAATTAGGGTTTCCCTGGAGTCTGTCATTAGTAGGTTATTTATACCCCTTGTATGCTTCATTCTGAATCATCTGAGAATAAAATTGGTTTTAGCCTTTTGGCTCTGGGCAACGATATTTTTATCGTTGATTATTTGGGCAACGGTTTACCCCGTTGATCGTTATTTTCTGTTCTTATCATTTAACTACTTTTTGTTGCTAAATATTCCAATTTGTAGCTACTAAAGGAGAGGAGTACCAGATTTTCAGAGAAGCTTCAACACGTCACTGGGAATCAATGAAGTCATGCTATCAAAAGGTACTATATATATGTATATATGTAATTGATTCAGATATGATTAAAGACTTAAAGATTCAAAGCTTGTAAGCTCGGTTTTGTATGCAGGCTGCATCAGCTTTTTCAAATGGTGGACGGCAATATGCTTCTTATCTTGCTGATCAGGTATGTACAATGGTGGCCTTCACATCAGGTGTCTTTATGTCAGGAATTCCATGTTTGTGCTTAGCATATAAAATTATTGTACATTTTGACCATTTTACAGGGCAGGACACAAAACAAGAAGGCTTTGGAGGCTGAGGAAAAGGCCAGTCAGAATATTTTTGAAGCCAGGTGCATTTTTTGTTTCCCTCCGCAAATCCAAACAAGTTATATTGGACACAGCTCATTTCATTTTCATTTACCCCAGTGCCGCAAAGGCTCCCACCTACGGTGGGGTAAGGAGGGGTCGGATGTACGCAGTCTTACCCCTGTACTAAAGCACAGAGAGACTATTTCCAGATGACCCGTAGTGAAAATCGCGTCCAAAATTGCATGGACTGACTGCTGCTTCATAATAAAGAAGCGCAGACAGTTTAGTGAGCCATTTTGCTTTATTCCATCGTATTCTCAAGCCAAAAAATAATGAATCTTTGGCTCCATTGCAAATGATGAAAATTATATTGGACACAGCTATATGTAATATTTGTTTCTGCAGAAATAAGAGCATAGAAAATTTGATTACCATTGACTTGCATGGGCAGCATGTTAAACAAGCAATGAGGCTCTTGAAGCTTCACCTTCTTTTTGGTGCATATGGACGCTGTAATTATCTTTGACCCAGAATGCTTGAACTGTTGTTAAGAATACTATAGATTGATAATTAACCGGCTCTTGCTTTTCCAGCTGTGCGGTCATTCAGGGTAATCACCGGATGCGGGGGGCAAGGCCTTGGGAAGTCTAAGCTCAAACTCGCGGTACAAAGAAAAAAATACATTTTACACTCGTCACTCGTGCAACATAAAACTAAAATATATACCTAGCCTAGTGTCCTAGCGATATATCATATATATGAATTCTTCAATGTAAACTTACTAAAATGCCCTGTTTGGCAGGCATTTTTTTCCAGCCTATCAGCCTTATGTGCATATTTTTATGAGGCACTAGCATTTATCATTGTGCTGTGGTTGAATTGGCTGATGGTTTAAAAAGTAGTGTCAATTTTTTTGCGCTTAATTGGATTTAATTAGTTTAGAAGGGGAGCCATGGCATACAGGTTAAGGTGTTGCTGTGTGACCGAGAGGTCACGGGTGGGAGTGGCCTCTTTGTAAAATTGACAGGGAATTCTTGCTCCTGATACACCTTGTGGAAGGACCCTCGCCTTGCAGGGATCCCTTTGTGCACTGGGCTGCCCTAAGTTTTTTGGCTTCAGTTACTTTAAACGGCACTTTAACCTTCCATGTGATATGTTATTTGCTTTAATTAAGTCAAAAAGTGATTTAAATACATAGTCTAGGGAATCCCAACAGATTTGTCCAATTCAGCAGGTTCAGCTGTTAAGACCTTTTACCATATGGGATCTAGGACACGCTTTTTCTTCTTCCTACACATTTTCTGCCTACACATTTTCTGCCTTGTCAGTTTTGTGGCTCTTATTATATTAACTGCAATTGGCGCACAGGTGTTGAATCTATTAGATAATGAAGGGATTGAGTGGAGTGAGGAGAATAGGGGAACATTGCTCATCAAGCTTCGAGGACAAACAAATTTAAGCTTCCCGGATACTCCTGATAGTGATGACGAGTGAATGTCAGAATATCTCACTTTAACATCTGTGAGGGATTGCTAATAGAATTAATAACTCAACCTCCTCTTTGCTAGACTTTTATCTTCTGTCGTAATTCAGGGAGTATAAATGTAGTTAGGCTTAGGTTGTGGCATGGTGCTGCTGACCTCTCGATACATCATGTACTTATATAGTACTGATTCACCGGCTTACTTTTATATAAATATATATATATATGCATCATCAGTATACTATACTAGTTATTATTATATATGTTCACACTTTTTTAAATATCCTGTATGGATGTAGTGAAAGCAATTCTGGGATTTTCTGTATAGTCACTATTTAATTGATTGGTGTATCTGAAGGCTTGAGAAGTTAACTAATCCCTCTATATTCTATTGTTTGCTACAATAGGGTTTGACACAATATTTAAGTGAAAAATAGTTGGGGCATATATATTATAGAAAAAGTAGGAGAAAATGTGGGAAAATGAGAAAGAGAATATGAAAAGTAGAAAAAAATAAGGATAAATTAGTATTTTTTAGAGAAAAAATTATCAAAAAGGGAAATTGTAGGAAACCAAAATAACTTTTTGAAAAGAAAAGTGTATCAAAAGAAGAATACGGAGGGAGTATTTATTTGATTGATGCAATCTGAAGACCTGAAAAGTGGCGTTGACATGGTTCTGGACTGGGAGCAGTTAGTTTTTAAGCCCGATACCACATTGTGTGGTGGATTCATAACCGACACGAACATCTGACTACTTCCTTGTTCTGGTTCATTTCTCTATAGGCCAGATTAGGGATGGACCCGGGCCGGTTCCGGGCCGGGCCCGGGCGGGCTTTTTTTCGGGTTACATGGGCCCGGAACCGGCCCGGGTTGATACCGGGTCCGGGCCTAACCGGGCCGGGCTGGGCCGGGCCCGGTTCAATTTTTTTTTTTTTTTACTTTCTTGTTATCTCCCTACCCCCCCCCCCCTCACCCCCATGCCCCAAACCTCCCTAAAACACCCAGCCCTACCCTAGGAAAAGAAAAAAAATTGAAAAAACCAAAAAAAAAAAATGAACCGGGCCCGGCCCGAACCGCCCGGGCCAGTTCAACAAAAATAGGGCCCGGAACCGGCCCGCCCGACCCGCCAACACGGGCTAAAAGCCCGGAACCGGCCAACCGGGCCCGGTCCGGTCCGGGCCCGCACAGTAGCGGGCCGGTCCGGTTCCGGGCCGGTTCGGCCCGGCCCAGTCCATCCCTAGGCCAGATGGAAGTCCAATTAAAAATTGGATTCCCGGTTCTAACGGGATAAGAACGGCTTTTCCAGTTTCAGTCAAGGTTGTAGTTATTACTTATTATTATCCGTTCGTATGTGATAGGATCGTGTTCACTCCTATATACAAATGATTGTGAGGACTGATGATTTAGTTACTCCAAAAAATAGTTGAAATTGAATCACTTCACTCTTCTGGAATCGTTGGATTGGAGATTTGGTAAACAACTGAGGTTGGGAGGCAAGAGTTGGGCTGTCATAGAACACGTCTGAAGACGTTGACAGCAGACTATGCTCTTAGGCTCATATTACCGTTTGCAAAAGCAATTAAGCAAGGTTGCTATTCTTAGGAGATATGAAGGGGAAAGAGATGCCATTGAGTTCGAGAGAGAGAAATGTGGCTACGAGAGGGTGTTCTCAATACTCGGTTTTTTCACTAAGAGAAGAGATAATAAAAATATAAAATGGTGGTGAGGTTGAAATCGAATCAAGGGTGTTGGTTAAAGATAGAGGAATTTGATGAAACTTTGCGAGCATATTTTTAATGAAGTTTAGATTATATTCATTAGCATAAAATTTAATTAGGAAGCCAGTTAAATAAATTATTGAAAACGTTGTGCCAAAATGTATATTAAAATGTAGTGATTTTCAATAATTTATTTAACTGACTTTTCAATTGAGTTTGAAGCTGAAATTTTGTGCACTTAATCTACACTTTATGAAGAACATGATCACAAAATTTCATCAAAAATCTACTCGGAAGCACCTCAAGTAGACAAGTTCTGACAATAGTTCTTGTCAGACCTACCTGAGGTGATCTTTTCTATGCCAAAGAATACTCCATCTGTTAAAAGATAACGCATGTCGGCATGTGTCCTAAGATGAGCTCAACGAAAGCAGAAATCTCGTATGGAACAGAAGGGTAAAAACTCGTTTGATTTTGATTTCTCGAATAAATAATATATTTACTATCTTCCTTAAAAACTACCGAAATATGTTACCATTATTTATACGACTGCGAACTTACAATGTTACAAAATTTGGAAAATTACAGCAACGAACATGTAGCTACCAAAATTAATTTCCTGACCACATTTAGGGAACATAAAGTACCATTGTTATCAAAAGTGAAACCACAGATAAGTTTAGTTGATCTCACTATGAATCTATGATCAATTAAACTTACGTAATGAAATTAAATTTAAAGCGTTAACATGTTACTGAGCACGTTATAGATATTGCTAGTATCTTATAGGTAGGTATATCTAACTTTTATGAAATCCATATAATATCCTTCCTATTGAATCCACTAAAATACCAATGTGTTTTTAGATCATAAAAATTGAGTAAAGTGATTATTACTTTGAAAAAAGTAAATAATACCAATCACATAGTTTTGTACTTTTGTTTCTAAAAAGGAGTAAAAAGGGATAATATAACTCCGGTTGCCGGAGCTTCTTTGTTGAAGTCAACTCAACAATAAAAGAATACTGTAATGTTAGTGTTAGACTGTTAGAAAATGGTTTGAGAAATAAGAGAAGGGTTTCAAATGGCTTTAAGAGCCCGTTTGGAGAACTCTGTTTTCGGCTTATCAGGCTTATCAGCAAGCTTTTTCACCAAACACGTAACTTTTACTTTCGCGCGCTGAATTGTGTAATAAGCCGAAAAAGTAAGGTTGGAGTTACTTTTCTGGCTGTATTGGCTGAAGTTACTGTAGAGGACCATTTTAGCTATTTTTACATATAATTTTTTCTTTAATTTATTAATAAAATATATTTTTAAAATATTTTTTTCTTAAATCAGCAGAATCAGCCAAAACAGCCACTCCAGCCAGAATATCATAAATTTCAGCAGAATCAGCCAAAACAGCCTATTTTGGTGCTACCAAACGGGCTCTAAATTTTCTCAGTTTCACTTATTAATCAATCCTCATTTGTGGACGTTGCCAAGTCTCTATTACTGCATTTCATTATCCTTTAATAACAAAAATAGTAAAAAGAGAAAGACAAAAAAGAAGCAAAATTTCTTTCAAATTTTTTTGGTTTTAATTGTTATGTTCCTTCTATTTAAAAAGTTATCAAATTTCATTTCCGTATGTACTTTTTGAAAGATAAAAACAAGAGTTATTACTGAGAATTTTTATACGCTTTCCCAAAATAAACTTTAGTACACTTTCTTAATAGAAGGGACCAGGACAAGAAATGAGTCAAGAAGCAAACAAAAATCAGTATGCCCAAGTGTTTTATGGCTATTTTAAACACGAAGGCAATGATTTCTTTGATAACTCAACTAAAATCATGGTAGTAATATATACACAGACTGACAGACCTTCAGGCTTCAACTTATCATTGTATTAAAAGCCACAATGAAAAAGAGGAAATTTCATAACAAGTTACATGATGGCCGTCTGGCCAGCAGATTTAGGCTACATTCACATTATTACTTCTCTTACTCTGCAAAATTTGGTTAGTTGACATTCCCATTAATGATGTGCTGGAAAATTGTCAACCTGCAAATGTGGAGCCACTATCATGAACTAGTGAGACGCAAATCTTTATAGTTACATATACGAAGACCGAGTATATACTAACCCATAATATGTCCCCCACTTGTATTTTTTTTAATAAAATTTGGTAAATGTTCCACCACATTGATTGATGGTTTGTCTACCGGATTAAAAAAACACGCAATATGGGGGTTCTGTCGGAACTCCTCTTATAATGAGAACACTCTTAATATGGGGGTTTTGTTCATCAATGCCTAAAAAAATTTTGTAATTATTTTAGAGTAGTTGCAAAAATAAACTGTTTTAATTTAGAAATTACAAAAATAACACCTTATGAGTGAGAGCCATTGATTGAGGATATCAGTTCTCATACTAAGGTGTTCTCATAGTAGTGACCTTCCCCATTATGTGTCATGTGTGTGTAAGTATGTGCTCACCACAGTGTGTTACATAGACCTCCATCTTTAATGTGCACTCTTCATTCTTGTCATTCAACACATGTCTCCTATGAGTCTTATATTTCCAAAGCATTTTGAAACATCACACCATTTATTCCCAAATGAAATGCTGCTTTTAAAAATCTCAGTCAAGGTGCACCTGAGCATTCAATAGCAACATAATATATTACTGTGTTAACTGCAATTCTTTCAGACAAGAAAATTTTCTGCATCATCATTTAAGAATTCTTTGTAAGTTGGAGAGAATTAAGAACCTCTGAAACAAGAAACTTACAAGATTCATGACTCCCTGAATTCCCAAGATCTTTGCCGCTGCTTGGCTTGTTTAAAATAGGACGTTCCACTGTTTGATTCTGGGGTTAAAATGGGGAAGAAATATGGAAGAACATAAGGATTAACAAAAGCAACTGCCAATTCATTCATCCGTTAAATAATTAAATATATTGTATGATTGCTTATCTACATGAGCAACAGAGGCTATGCTGCTCATCTAAATACAAAATAAGCGACAATCATAGATATTAAAATTTACAGAGATATCCATCTATCCATTTATTCAATTTCATGCAAGAACCTCTATTAAAATGAGTAGCTTAAGATATTGGATCTCTTATTTTACCCATTTATTAAGACAATGGGCGCGGAGACCGCATGGCACCCCTTGTGGGAGAAATGCTGAGGGGCTTGGGTTGGGCCGGGGTGAGGATGAGTGAGCTTTCCCCACTTAAGTATGGGGCAGTGAGGGGGGATGCTACTCCTACTCCATCACCAAAAACACTCGCATATACATAATTAATTAATTGAATAATTAATTAATTATCAAACAATGACAGTAAAAAAAATATTTACAGGTCGCATAGACATATATGCAGTGTTAACTATAATAATGATCATAACAGTAACATACTTATTCATGATTTTGTTGATCTTGGCAAGCCCATCAAAGCGGGAAAAAATGATCGATTCGGTGATTGTAATTTTTATCACACCTTTTAGTCATTTTTAGCTATTGTAATGTTATTGATCATATGCATTTAGTGAGTTAAATATGCAATCAACTGAAAAACATTTTTGTTTCTTCCACAAGGGAACTCTCGGGGATAGTGGGGCGGAGTGGCGTGGGGACGGAGCCATAAGACCATAAGTAAGAGGGTGGGATGATATTTTAATATTATATGGTGGTTATGAGGTGTGCTTTTTGTAATAAAAGAACATGACATGAACGGTTGGAGACTTACCAGAGGCAACATAACTTGTGCCTGGTGAACACCAAGAAGTTGTTGATATGGATCTACAAAATTTGGTATTTGTTGCTGGTTAGGATTAAGGGAGACAAGTGGGGTTAACATGGAACCTGATGTGGGTACTCTAGAAGGATCTGGTGGTACAGGAAATGGGAATGATGGTGGTGGGATAGGAAACCTTGGGGTGTTCATCTGTGCTGCCGTAGTTGGATTTGTTAGCATTGATGAACCGGGTAGATGTGTTCGTGGTGGTGGTGGTACTGAATATGGAGGAACCATGGGAGGGCGACTCATGCCCATATCCATGCACATCCCCATCATGTTCATACCCATCTTCGTTTGCATATACTGCTGCATACCGGCGGGATACATCAATGGGACCATGCCACATCCCATGGACATCATCTGTAGAGAAAAGCAGCATTTGCAGGTGAGAGAAATTATTTGTGCATATCATGTTGAGCAAATTAATGAGGGGTGACAAATTTGGCCTTCTTCAGTGAGAATAGTACATATTAAAAGCCTGTTTGCCTGTTTGGTTATAGTTACTGGCTGAATCTAGTGAATTTTCTCAAAGGAAAAGTGTTTGGTAGGATATATTTTATTCAAATAAGTTAAGGCTCTGCTTGGTAACGGGGCTTATTCATTGTGTAAATTAAGAAAATAAGTAGTTTTTGACTTACTTGAATGGCTGAAATAGATCTTACCAATAGTTTGTCCTTAAAGAAGAATCGGTTAATTCAGCCAATTTAGTTTAGTAACCATATTAATTAAACAGCCTGATTTTAGTCACCTAATTATTACCAAACAGAGTGCTAAATCAGGACACAAGATTACTCTGGTACTTTCTTTTGGTATCATTACACTTTTCACGACTAGAGGTGGTAAATTGGTGTTAGGTGAGGGGAGCCACCTCTGCAAAACTGCAGAAAGAGAATATTAATGACCAAGTAGTTAAAAGAAAGTGTCTGCAGCATACTTGCACTTGCATTTGTAAGGATTTCAAGTACTCGATTGCATCATCCAACATTGAAGCTTTGTCTGACTGAAATAAACAAAACAAAAAGTAACATGAAGCGTGTAGTAGTTTCGTTCACTTTTATTTGTTCTAGTAGTTTTTTCATGAAATTAAGAGCAAAATTTTATAGGTAGCGAGTGTTGCAGAATAAGTAGGGGGGAAACGATGAAAGAGAATAGTATTTATGTCATTTAGTTATGAAGTACAAAAGGTGCCAAAAATGAAAAATGGGGCAAGTAGTAATAAACTTCCATATAAAACTGGAACAAGCAAACGTGTGTGTGCGAGTTTGTGTTTGTATCAGCTAATCAGCCTATTTCCATTTGTAAAAAATGGCAATTCCAAGCTTAGACAGAAAAAATTACTACTTCGTATAAGTTTCCAGTGAATCAAAACCTTGTTGCAGCGCGGTATGAGTTCTTGCAAGGCCCTCATCTTTTCATTAATCCTATCACGCCGCCTCTGCACCACAGCATGCATTCAAAAGGGGATAAGGGTCAGTTTGGTCCTCGAAGTTGCAAAAAAGGGGTCAAATAAGTCTTTATATAGAAAATTCTGTCCGGACGTGCCATTTGAGGTGGCTCCCGGTGGAATTTTTTGATGAAATTTTTTGAGCATCTTATTCATTAAGTCTAGTTTACTCATACCAAATTTCAGATAAAAATTCAATCGGGAAGACATTCAAATGAATTCTTGAAGATAACTGTGCCGTTAAAAGCGCTGTTATCTTCAAGAATTCATTTGAATGTCTTCGCGATTGAATTTTTAGCTGAAATTTGGTATGAGTAAACTAGACTTAATGAATAAGATGCTCAAAAAAAATTATCACAAAATTCCACCGGGAGCCACCTCAAATGGCACGTCCGGACAGAATCTTCTATATAAGGACTTATTTGACGCCTTTTTTGCAACTTCGAGGACTAAACTGACCCTTTACTCCATTCAAAAGTGAGTAGAAAGCACAGTAAATGGAAAACAACAACAACAACAACAACAAAACAGCTCACATACCCTTTCTGAGAGATTATGGACCTGTGCAGCCCGAGATCTCTTTGTTGAAGGGCAACCACGCGCATCCTTCTTTGTATCAACAGACTCTAAGTCCATATCCTATAAGGTATTAAGGTTTAAGAATTCCATTCACATGCAACAGAAAGGTACACTGATCAAGTATAGTGGCAATTAAGTACCAATGGATCTTTTAAGTAAATGTTGCCAAGAAGAAAACTGTGTGAGTGAAGAAACAATTACTAGAATAATGCTCAAGTCCAGAATCCCACAAAAAAATGGTAACCAGTTCAACATACAAAATTAATACAATAAGTAATTGAAATTTTAGCAACAGATGACAAAACACTTTCATATGTTTGCACAAAAACATTGCCGGTTGCCCTTCGCTCAAATGTTCACCACCAGCCGACCAAGTGTCCAAACCTTAGAAGAGTATCCTCAAATTTTTAGCTTCAAAGAGCATTACTCCTTCCAATAAAAAGAGTCTCCTTTCTAATTTTTTTTTGTTTTGAAAAAAGAATTATGATTAAATGAACCGTGTGCAGTGAAAATGACAATTTCGCAAAAAAAGGTGACAAATAATTGTGATGTGTGCTCATTGCAATCAACCTAGAATGATGCTCAAGTCCAGAATCCCATACAAAATTCAACATAGAAAATTAATACAGTAAGTATTTGAATTTTTTTAACATACTCCGTATGATACAACACTCTCTTATGTTTGCACAAAATCATTGCCCTCTACTCAAGTGTGCACCACCAGCCGAACAAGCGTTTTGAACCCTCCAAAAAGATAGAACAAGTTTGTTTAAAGGCAAAGTTGGCTACGGTGTTGGAATAGACTTTGCCAATTTAACCATCATCATCATTACCCCAGTGCCGCAAAGGCTCCCACCTACGGCTGGGTAAGGGGGTCGGATGTAGGCAGTCTTACCTCTGCACTAAAACACAGAGACTGTTTCCGGATGACCCATAATGAAAATCACGTCGGAAATTGCATGAACTGACGGCTGCTTCATAACAAAGAAGCACCGACAGGTTAGTGAACGGTTTTGCTTTATTCCATGATATTTCCAAACCAAAAAATAGTGAGTCTTTCCATGGCAAATGATGGAAAAACTTTGCCAATTCAATAAATAAATCAGAGCTTGAGTAAAAAGAAACACAAAAACTAGAAGATAAAACTCATAAACCAAAAATCCAGAGCGCAACATGGGATCCAGTGTAATCAAGTTTACTTGGTCGACTCTCAAATTTTCAGCTTCAAAGATCATTACTCCCCACAAAAAGAGACTCCTTTCTAAATTTGCTTGTGTTAAACAAGAATCATGACGAGACAAACTGTGTCCAATGAAAATGACCATTTTGCAAAATAAGGTTACAAATAAGTGTGATGTGTTGATTGCAATCAACCTATAAAATGCCAGAAATATAAGTGGGTGCAATTAAGTTCACATGCAGTTTCAGACACAAAATATCCAAGTTCTATGGCTGTGTCCATTTCAACTCTAACTACTGTACGGAGGCTCCAATTTAGATTGACGCCATAGCATGGAGACAAATATTATGATGCATACGTTTCAAAAGCTTTACTCCCACCGTCCATATAACTTGTCCCTAACTGTTTATGAAGCTTGACTAAGCATAAAGCCATAACGCTAGTTTCTTTATACTACCTCCGTCCCAAAAAGAGTTGCAAATTTGACTTTTCTTAGTCAAACAGTCTCGTTTTGTTCACTTAATTAGGATGTCAATTTTTAATTATTTTCTAATTTGGAGTTTACAACTTTGAAGAGATTTTAATGTAGTTTTTTGAATATGTAAATTTTAATTATTAAAAATTGAATTAATTATCCATAGGGAGAGTTGACTTTTATTATTGGTTGGCCAAAAATTGTTGACTTTGCAAAACAAATTGGGACGAAGGAAGTACTACGTATTAAAATACGCGAAGTAAATTATAATTTACCATTAACACACTAGGAGTACATTTAAAAAAATAAACTAACAGTTGAATTGAATCACAAAAATCGGGTTTGAATATGAAAAATATTTAGTACTAGGATATGAATAAACAGGGACAGACAAGCCATGTGAAATGAGAGCATTAATTACTGTAGCAAATCTTGCCAATTTTTACCGTTACCGGTAAAATTACTTTTTGGGACAAAGTTACACACGTGGCGGAACCGCATTTTACTAACTTTCCACCCAAACGGTTAAAGAGCGAGAATAAGAGACTGGTTAATTACCTCACTGTGGCCCTCCGTCTCGTCGGCTGCTCTTCCCTTACGCTTCCGGTCATCTACCGCTGCGTTTTGGGGCGGCTCCGGGCTGCCGCTGCCTCCTGAATCTCCGGGAGATGACGTTACCGTTTGCTCGCACGATACCTTTTCATCCCTTTTACCTCTCGGTGACGAACCTGTGTCCACTGTGCCGCTTAACTTCCCGCCAGACACCGGCGTCACACTTTCTGCCACATGAGGGGTCTCGCTCGAGTCCACGATCGTCGATTCTATCGGCGCCTTGCTCGAACTCAACGGCACCGGTTCGATCCTCCCTCTATGCAGTCGCGCAAAGTGGGCAAAGTTTTGGACGCGTGGCGCACCTTGAGCCTCGGGAGGTTTGGGTAGAGGTACAGGTGGGGTCTGCGATGGCGGCAGATGAATCCGAGCCTGACGGATCTCGGCTACAGGCGAGCGGATTTCGCGTGTAGGGACGGAGGCGGCGGCGCGCAGGGGAGGAGCGAACGTCGTAGCTGAAGGCGGATAAAGGAGATCAGAGCAGTAGAGATCACGGTCGTCAAAGGAGGGCTCATCGAGAGGGTAGTCGAGCCAAGACGCCATCTCATCCTCCTCCATGAACAGATGCTGGTTCGCCGCCGACGTTTCTTCTCCCGGCAGTCGAATCTGTCTGCCCGCGGGCTGCTCAGCGGGAATTGCCGCGTCGCTGGAGAAGATTGGTTTATGATAGGATCTCTGGTTTTGAGTATGCATAACGACTTGACCGTTCTGCCATAGAAGCTCCATGATATTCTCTTCATCCCTGTATTCAAAATCAAATTAAACCCCTACCTCCAATTGACTTCCACCGCAACTCACAGGGATAGAGAGCATAAAACTTACATTGCAGGCTTCTTATTATGTCTGGTCGAACCAGAGGAAGAAGTGGCGGTGTGAGGAACATTGAATTCCTCATCCATGTCGAAATCCGGAAGGCGGTGATTCATCGCGTGTCTCTGCAACTCAATTTCTTCTAAAAAAGCAGAGAATTAAGTCAGCGAAATTCACTTCCTTTCTATGATGTGATAGTTTGAACTTATCCAGAACTGTAGCAAGCTAGCAATGATTCAGCGCTGGTAATTTTTGGGAAGTTTCTGCAAATTCAACTGTCTGCAAGCAACGTACCATACCCTAGTGGGAAGAACAGATTTGTGGGTCTGAATATTTTCAGATTTTATACTAATAATTTTGCTGTGGGGAGTTTGATTGCCTCGTTTCTGCGTATAACCTAAATCGATAACCACCACGGATATTGTATTCTATTCTGACTCTCGTGTATTTTGCAGGTTCACAGAGTAAAAATTCTCAATGGACCCGAATATAAGAAACGGCCAAAGAACTGCAAAAAGTTGAAATCTTGAAATTAAACTTTGAAATTTGAACTATAATTCTTTATGAAATTGGAAAATTAGGATTGCTATTATATGTTTGGTGGAGGTAGATGGGGTGACATTGTAGCATAATAAGACTGGACATGAATCCATGATGTTACTCCTAGTCTACCTAGGACATGGATAGTTTCTATTATTATTAGAACTAGTGTAACACCCCGGGGCCTGTCAATGGGCCGGGTCTAGACTGGGACCCGATCCGGACCCGACTATTTTTAACGGGTATGTGTCTATATTTTAGAAAAAATTGAAAATAATAATCTCAACTATTGCCGGTCCGCTGAAAATAATCCCAACTATTGATTATTTTTGTATAATCCCAACTATATAGACTATCCGCCAATAATGGTCCGTGACCATATATTACCTCTATAAAAAGTAAATTTTAAATAGAAATTAATCGTAAAAATTAAAAGTTGAGATTATTTATAAGGATTACTTGTTATATATCATCTCATCCACTTTAGAAACTACAAGAATTTATTCATAGGGACCATTATTGGCGGAAAGTCCCTAAAGTTGGGATTATTCTGTAATAATCAATAGTTGGGATTATTATGAGCGGACCGCCAATAGTTGGGATTATTACTATCAATTTTTCCTATATTTTATTGCGATTATCCAGACCCGAATCCGGACCCGTTAGTATTTATAATAAACGGGTCGGGTATGGTACATATGATTCCAACCCGTTAAGGACCCGGACCCGTTTAAAATTACTCATTAATATTAGTACACACACTAGTACATAGAGTGGTTAGTTATAACACTTCAAATAAAAAATACAAACTAATATATATACTAATACACACACATACTAATACATAAAGTTATTAGTTGTGATTCTTTAATTAAGTAGATACACTTTAATACATACCTACTCTATAAGAGCATCTCCAATGTTAAAACGTTAACGGTGCATACGTGGCATGAGAAATAACCAATTAAAAAACAATAAATCCAATATCTCTCTCCTTCTTTCCACGGTCTTATGTGTTAGTTTTTGTCTGCAATGTCAATCACAATGTCTACATCTTGACATTCTGCTTGACATTGTGAAGAAAAACTTACCAAAATGATGTAAGATCCTTCAAATAAGGAGAGAGATATTATATTTATTATTTTTTAATTGGTTATTTTCCATGCCACGTATGCACCGTTAACGTTTTAGCATTGGAGATGCTCTAAGTGATACTAATCGAGATAATGAGATACCCTAAAACTAATACTCATTTTGATTGTTTATTGATAGTGATAAATTGTGTATTGGGCTCGGTATGCAAAGCCAAATATTTTTTATTATTATTTTTTAAATAAATATTTTTTATTATTAATATTATTATAACTTTCTAGCCTAATCTACGAGCTTTGTGTGTGAGAGAAAGAGACCAAAAGTATGGAGTTATACGCATCTACAAGAATCGATACTTTATTGGATAAAAGTACTAATTTTTTATGATAAACCTTGATTTTTTTAAAATATGAAGATATATTTTGCTTTTAAGTTTGCGCACTTTGCTTTACATTTCATATACATGTCCTGTTATTTTCAAAAAAAATATTATAACGTTGTGCATATTATACTTGGCGGGTCTACCCGTCTACCCGACCCAATTCCGAGACCCGTTGGGTCCAGGTCCAGGTCCAAATTTTCAGACCCGTCGGGTATGCGGGTCGGGTCTGGGTCCTTTATTAACTTAGCGGGTCCGGGTCTGGAACACTATGTTCCGGCCCGGACCCGACCCATTGACAGGCCTAGGCATGCCCCGATAGTGTCATGTTAATATGATTTAATACGGTAAATATTAATAAATGTTATGACTTGTTTACATAATTGTTTTAATAACATTTTTTATATTGAAAAAAACCCGAATAAGTTTACTAATACTTTGCAAAGAAATGAGAAAGGGGATTTTAAAAAGTTGATGGGCATGTGAATTGTTATTCTTTTGATTTTAGGCTCATAATTATTTTTGTTTTCAGTTTATGATCACATTAGTTGAAAAGGGTTCATAGTATGTTGTAACAAGAAAAGGCTTAAATATAGCATTTGATTGTGAATACCGCGATTACAGTAAGAATTGATTTTGGATCAATGTTATTGGTAAAATATATATGTAATGACTAATGATCTGGCCGAACTAAAAAATGTGATATCACTTTAGCAAAAAATAAAAATACTGCAATGAAGTCATCAAAGGAGGCATGCACTAGTAGTGTTAATTTGATATGGTCTAGTGACAAATAATGACAAACATTGTGAACTATTCATAAGATACGATCAAAATTTTGGTGATTTATTTTATGAACTAACTACCACCATGAAATACAAACGAAGAATCACCATCTTATGGAGTATAAATTCGTATATAGCTAATCAATCTCCTTTTTGTTGGGAACTAATTAAATGTTTTCAAAATAAAGATAATAAAATTTTTGTTAACCAATAACAGAGTGACATATATGTTAGCAGTTTGTAATCCTATTTTACTAAATAAAATAATAAAATTTAAATATCTAATGAAAATTGGATTCCTTATATGTGTCACGACTATTGTGTAAATGTGCATTTCAAACTCAAATTTTACTATAGATATTATATATCATTGATTTATAGCTCAATTTTTACAATAGTTTTTTATATATGTAATTTGGTGTCATATAAAAGACCATAAATTTTATGATTTTTGATATTTTTTTTGTTAAATTTGGAGTGATGCACCGAATGAGTTGATTGGATTAAAATGAGTAGCAGTGATGCACCGAGTGAATAGCAGTGATGCATGAAGTGAATAATAGTAATACATCAAGTGAACTTAGATTAATTAAATGATTTAGTAGTGGTGATAATGGAATTTTTATCAACCAATAAGAGACTCACACATCATTGATTCATAATTCAGTTATATTATACAAAGCTAATATTTTTTTTATTTTTATATATGCAATATTGGTTTAATATGAAAGATGACAAAACTTATGAATTTTGATACATATCTTATAAAATTGGAGTACAAAAAAATAAAAATAAAATTCTCCTCCACTTTCTCTAAATAAGTTGACATGATTAAGGTGAATAATAATGATGCACCGAGTAAGTAGTAGTGAAGCACCGAGTGAACTTGAATTAATTAAATGTTATAGTAGTAGTGATTATAGAACTTGTTAAGTAATAAGAAACAGTCACATTAGTGATTCATTACTCAATGTTATTATATCAAATGAAAATATCTTTATTTTTATATATATAATATTGATGGCATATGAAAGATCATAAGAATTTATGAATTTTGATATAAACTTTCTTAAAGATTGGAATACAAATAAAAAAGTTATAACGCTTTAAAATTAAAGATATTTTTCTCCTTCACTTTCTCCAAATGAGTTGGCGTGATTAATATGAATAGCACTTATGCATCTGGTGAATAGCACAGATGCACCGAGTGAACTTGAATTAATTAAATGTTTTAGTAACAATGTTAATAACTTTTTTTATTAACGAATAAGAGACTAACACCTCATTGATTTTGACCCAAATCTATTGTATAAAATGATGTTTTTATTTTTATATATGCAATATTGTTGTCGGATGAAAGATCATAAAAAATTATAAATTTGATGTGTTTTTATAAAAATTAGAGTACAAATAAATTAAATAAGTACTTATACTATCGTAATACATTAAAAGAATTTTTTCTCCTTCCCTTTCTCCATATGAGCAGCGATACACGTAGTGAATAGCAATAAATTAAATGTTTTAATTGCAGTGATAATAACATTTTTATAAATCAATAGAATTTTTTACTCAGGTTTGCTATATAAAATACTACCTTCGTCCCATTCAAAACTTCTCGTCCAGTATTCTTCAGTCAACCAAAATCTTCTTAATCTATTACTTTATATATCCAACTTTTATCAAATATGAGTTTTTCTTTTGCGAATTTATAAAACTTTTGATGTAGTCTCTAAATATGTAATTTATTTAATAAAAGAAATCTAATTACGAACACGGATCAATTAATTGTATGGTTAGTAAAATATCGTAAACCATGTGATAGCCTTTCTAGGGGACATAGAGAGTAATAGATCTTTTTTATTTATATACATATATATGATACTTGTGTCATATGAAAGATTATAAAAAGTTATGAATTTTGATATATTTTTTGTAAAAGTTGAATTATAAATATTAAAGTTATATGACTTTAAAAAAAAGAGATTGGTTCTTATTTTTCTCCAAATCAGCCGTGATGTAGGAGTTTTTTTTTAAAACAACCGTGTGAGTTATTTAAGAGAATATTACCTGAAATAGGACTAAAAAGGTTTGAAAATTCCAAAATAAGACTGCCATATTTTTATTCCCAAAATAGGACTAATTACTGTCATGTTTTGGCACTACCAGACTTCAAACATGGCAGTATTTTCCAAACTTGACAGTAATTACTGTTATTTTGGGAATAAAAACATGAAAGTTCTATTTTGGAATTTTCAAACTATTTTAGTCCTATTGCGGGAACTTTCCTGTTATTTAATTGTTTTAGTTTGAAATTGTTTGAAATTTGAACTATAATTTTTAATGAAATTGGAAAATTAGGATTGTTATTGTATGTTTGGTGGAGGTAGATGGGGTGACATTGTAGCATAATAAGACTGGACATGAATCCATGATGTTACTTATAGTCTACCTAGGACATGGATAGTTTCTATTATCAGAATGTTTTTCATTTATCTGATTTTAGTCTCATACTAGTGTTAGGATTTAATTAACGCAACACGAAGAACAATAAGAAAGAACACACGAAATTTGGTAACTCAGTTCGCCACAAAGGACATCTGGGGGCGCTACCAAGTCAGGAATTGCTATTAATTTCGGATCAAGTGATTACAAGAGAGAGAGCTTATTTATAGAGAGTAGAACCTAACTCCTAAACATAATAGGACGCGCGCGGCTCACATCTGTACGGCCCAAAACTGTACTAAACTCGCGGCTCTTCAGAAACGGACCCAAAAAAATTTGGGGTTATAGGGCTTGACTATACA